AGAGAAGCAGCGCGCCTGCCTGCTGCCCCCCGACGACGGCCCCTGCCGCGCCCTGGTGCCGCGCTGGTACTACGACAGGTACACGCAGAGCTGCCAGGAGTTCACCTACGGGGGCTGCCACGGCAACGCCAACAACTTCCTCACCCTCGACGACTGCGAGAAGAGCTGCTGGACCATCAAGAGTGAGTCCGGGGACCGGCCCGCCGCCGGGTCGGTCCTCCTCAGGAATGAAACGTAGAGAAGAGCACACACATCCTCATGAGCCCCGGGGGTCGACCCGACGGGGCCCAGTTCCCCGGAATGCCCCCGGGGTGGCAGGGGAGATGGAAGGGGCCTGTGGGAGCACCCGGGAGGCTGTGCTGCTTGCGGGATGCTTCGTACCCACCCCGTCTGTCCCTCCTGCTTGTTGCAACTGTCTCGCTGATGTCCATTTTATGCAGAGAAACCGGGGCGAGTTGCCTCAGAGGCGACATGCGGAATTTAGCTATTAATATTTTAAATGTAATTTAATATTATAACTAGTTGCTAATTAATGCATCAGATTCCTCCTGTAAAGCTTATCCCACTTTATTAAAGAATGCAGGTAGTGGGACACGCTGTGACTTGCCTGCGACCGGAGTAATAGCGTTTTGTCTACACTACCATGCTGTTCAGTACGGGGAGCACGAAGGGTTGATTTTACAGAGGGTGAAATTATTTTTATTGCAGAAGTGCCCAAATTATGCCGGATGGAGGCTGATGGAGGACCTTGCAGGAGTTATCTAAAAAGATACGCCTTTAACTTGAGCTCGATGAGGTGCGAGGAGTTCATCTATGGTGGCTGTTACGGAAATAGCAACAACTTCAGAGATGTGCAGTCTTGTGTGGACCACTGTCTGCCAGAGAAAAGTAACGGTTGTTCCAAATTTTTAATAAAATAGATGGTTTGAAAGCGATATGAAGATTATATTTTATTTGATATTTTCCTCTGGATACCCATACAGTGGTATTTTTGAAGACTTCTGTGAAGCAGATGTTTATATTGTCTGCAGACTTTCATGTGTCACTTGTCTCAGCTGTTACCAAAAGAGCAAAATTGCTGTGTTAGTTTAATATTGTGACCTTAAATATGCCCACAGCTACACCCAACCGATCTCTTGCCTTCTAGAGAGCTGTACATGTGTAATCTGAAGGGAACTAAGGTTGGAGATCTGTGTTGAGGCAGATGTATGAGACGTTATGGCAGTCACGTTCAGGGCAATGATATCCTATTATGAAGTGGAAGTGCCTTTCTAAAATTCAGGCCTGAGAGATGGTGTTAGGTGGCCTGGGTTTTTCGCACTCGCCAGCTCAACTGATAAAAGCTTTTTGCCTGTCATGGCTCTTCATTGTCTCTCCTACGAGCTTTAAGGAGGAGAGGTGGTAATTATGAACTAAGTGTTGTCATAAACACCGGGTTAATATCCAGTGCAAGATAGGATCTTTGAAGAAGAGAGATCTATCAGAATGTATAAAAGCGGTCACTGCCTAAGCTTTATTAGTGCTTGATGAGACAGTTATTTTTGGCTGATGACAGATAGTCAGCATTTTCTTAGGTGAATGCTGAATTATTTGTAATTTCTCTGTTGCACATCCAATAAATTGATAAAAGGTCTCCAGCAAAAAAAGTAAAATTTTGTTGAGGCAAAATGAAACATGAGTCTCATGAGGGAAGTGGTGGGTTTTGTACTTTTTGCTGCAAGCAGGCAGGATTTGCTGGCAAAATCATAGCACAGATAAACAAAATAGTGCCTTTTTTCTCTACAGAGGTAATCGCACTGGAATTACTATTGTATTCCTATATATATGGAATAAGACTTCTGGCCAAACTAAATATCTCAGCTGTCGTATGTATGGCACCACAAATGGGAAAAGCTGATGAATTTCACTTGTGGGATAGTAAGCCTATTTTCTGGGACTGTCTGTTGCTTTCTCAAATTCATAACTCACAGGAATAAGATGTAGTCAGTCTCTGAAGTCATCGGTAACAGTCATGTCAGTTCAATGGGAACAAGAGCTGTTTAGCCACGAAATTTACTGCAGGGTAAATTTTAAGAAGCCAGGCGTAGAGATTACATTCATGTAATTTTTCTTTCTCTCTCTTTTTTTTCCCTTCTGTTTTTTTTCAAGCTGGTCCCTTGCTATGCTATAGCCCAAAGGATGAAGGATTGTGTTCCTCTTCTGTACCTCGCTATTACTATGACACCAAGACTAAATCATGTAAGGAGTTCAAATATACTGGCTGTGGTGGAAATGCCAATAACTTCGTTACTGAAACGGATTGCTACAATGTCTGCAGAAAAGGTAAGATTTTTTTGTATTTTATCAGTCACAAGCAGATAAAGCAATCCAAATACTCACCTTGGCTTGTTACAAGTGTATGCTTTTTGCATTTTGGACTCAGTGTTTTCAAAGGCAGGGAAAACTGAGATGCAACACTGAATCCTTCTGACAAGAACAGTGCGATGCGAGGTGGTTACACCATTTCTGAATGAAATGTAGAGAAGAGCACACAAAAAGACTAATTAACTTACTAGAGCCCACAAGGAACCAGTCTTTAAACTGTTCAGTACCAGCATGAGCACTAATTAAGGTCTCATTTTCTTACAGGTATTTTAAAGTAGGATTAAAGTAAGTTGTGAAATCAATTTACTTTTTTCCTTCGCATTTTCAGCAGTTACCATCCTCCCCTGATTCCCTGCTGCCTGTTCCCATTTTCCATTCCCATTACTAAAGATTTCTGCCTCATCAGTTGTGCCGAGTCAATTGTTTCTGTGGCCATGGGGGGAAGGGTTGGGAATGATAGTTGATTTTTCTCAATGGTTTTATTCCAATCAGCTACTGACTGTGCTTGTAAGTCAAAACAGTTGTGCTTTTACCTGCAGTCCTATGTTCATACCAGCTATTGCAAGTTTTAATACTCTAGTTTAATTAATTTAATATGTAAATCAATGAGAGAGAGAAAAACATAATTATATGTTGATCCCCAGAGCACTCAGGAAGCAGACATAGCACAATATTTAAAAAATTGATACTAACGGGAAAAAAATTTAAGGCTGTATCTAACATGTACATTGACTTTGGGAATAAAGAAAGCCAAAAAGTAGCTCTGTTTTACACGAGATATGCACAAGATCCAAGTGCTTTTGTATTTAAGGTGTGTAGTCAGAAGGCTTAAGTCAGGAGATGATTCTTCAGTTCTGGGCTAGAAATCCAGGGCTGGGCCAGGGATTGCACCTCAAGAACAGTCCTCAGAAGTAAAAATATTGTCTGCCAGTTAGTCATGGCAGTAGTATTTCTGTGGGTGACAAGTCTGAGTGTGTCTCTGCCATTCTAGTATTATAAGAGAGCCTTTAATAGCATGCTAAGTCTATCTGAGATGCTTGTGATTATCTAATTTGCATCTATTACTACCTGGGAAATGGTAGGGCCAGACTCCAGCCTAAGTGTGCAAAGAGAGAGGAGGAAGGAAGCTGCCTCTTCAGCGTCTTGCCTCGGTGCTCTGCCTCTGCCCACACCCAGCCAGAGCCACCTGGGGGTTCTCCCTTCCTCGCTCTTTTTGTGGAAGAAAGAAGCAAGGAAATGCTGTCTGTCTTGTAACTAGAGCACCAAATAGCCAAACATAAAAGATCGGTTTTAAGCTTTTTCACTAACTTGTGGATTTCACAATTCAGTAAGGCTTGGTACAAACAAAGCCCATAGTTAAGGGCATAATTAGTGCTAATTAGTGTTGCGCTGTACATATTCATTTCTATAGCTTGGGAGTGTACTGCAACATTAAACAAATCTTTAAGGCAACTTAAGCCACTCCTTCTCTCCCACTCCCATAATTCCCTTCCCAGCATCTTTCCTGTTACCTTTTGGAGTCTCAAGTTGAATTCAGTTGACCTTCCCTGTGCAAATATGCAACTGCTGTTTGAATTGATCTATAGCTTTTGGAGTGAAAAGGTTTCTGATTCATTTCATTAAAGAAGCTTATATTGGAAAAGAAAATAAATATGTTGGGGTGGCAGCGAAAGGATTGGGAATGGGCCACAGGGGCTCTGCGTGCAGGTAAACAGGTAGCATAAAGACAAAAGATTTTCAGTCAGGTTTGCAAAGTACTTGTTTTCTGAACTGCATTCACATATTTCATGCGGCCTTCATAAACATTCCTGGAGATAACCCTGACTGTCTTTGGCCACTCTGCAGTTTCTCTGTGGAACCCAGTTCTGTGCAGAAACCCAAATCATTTTACCTTTTCATCTCCCACAAGCACTGGTTATATTTTAGACTGTGCCCCAGTGTTGTTCAGAGAAATGTAGTAATAGTTCTTTTTATTTCTGCAGATAGAGCAGTGTGTTTACTTCCATTCTGCTGTCACTGCAGGACAGCTATAAAAGACTTTGATGCTTGCTCAGGAAAAGAGCAGCAAAGTAGGACTCCAGTGCCAAAGGTGGACACATTGGAGACCTTACAGTGTGTGAGAATAGGGTGTCCCGAACATATTTTACAGTTTCTGATATGTTTGTTATTATTGGATCAACTGCTTAAACAGCATAACGTGGAAAAAAAAACCCAAACACTAAAGAGTAGTAACAATTTTGCCATACTGTTTCTCTAACTGCTTCCTTTGTTTTCTTAGCAGGGACTCAGAAACCAAGGATCAACAAGCCAATGAATGTATTCCGCAGAAAAGTGATGAGAAAACTGATTAAAAAAACTCAGACATATAACCCGAAGTCCTAAAGCTGATGTACGCTTGGATGTTTGAAACACCTTCTTTTGATTCCACTTTCTTCTTCTGTAAGATAGTTTCCACACAGTTTTATACACCGATGTAGTTCTGTCTTTCAGAACTGCTTTTTATTTCCAACGTACTTTTTATAAAGAACTGCATTTAATAGAAGGAGAATGAACCTAAGTTTGGTTCTTCTGCTCTGTTGTCTTTGCAGTAATACTTCGGCAAAGCCAGGTATTTAGATTTCCGCGTTTTATGGGGCAACGTTGCTACTGCCTTGGGAGAATATTTCAGCTGTTACAAATCAATCAATTAAGATTTGAAAAATCAATCATCTCTCAGTATAACTAAGGAGAGTACAAAGCTAAATCTCCACCATGGATTTTTTTGGCATCCTCTGCTTGCTAAAGAAAAGGAACCTTTCAAAAGTGTGTTCAGAGGTTTATTGCCCTGCCATTTTACATACTTCGGCACTATCATTTAAGTAGACTGTCCTTTGCAGTTATGTTCATAGTCAAGACTTTCAGAAGCCTTCATAACAGTAACAGAATAGTATAAACTTAAATCTGGCTCATCCCACAGGAGGAAATTGGGCATAGGGATACTTTGATAAACACTCTGACAAAGGCAATGAATAAGCTACTCGAGTATTAAAATGAAAATGTAGCCATTACTTTTTCATGACATTTGAAATTTCAGCGAAGTTACAGTCCAGATCCTCGTATGGCATAAATCAGCATATTTTTATTGATTTTAATGGAGCTACAAGGATTACATCGGCTGAGGATCTTGATATTTGTGTTTATGTGCTGGCTGTTAAAGCAGAAAAGCAGAAGCTTCTGCAAATCTCATGTAATCCCTCTTTTGAGGCACTATTGTATTTCTTATGGTAGATTATGCCTATGGTGATATTATTGCACCTTCTTTTATGTTTGGTATTTGAGCCATGTCTGAATTTCAATTAATTTCACCTACGATATTTTCTAAGTATGAATTCATAAATAATGTTAATAAAATGTTTTTGGGAAAAAAAGGAGAGCTTGTTCTGTGATATGCCTCTGTTTCCTTACGCTGAGGTCTTTGTTTGAAGAAAGCCAGTAAATTGCGTTGATGTCATTCATCCCCAGCAGTTTTTATGGCTCTGCTGGCTCTCCCTAAAGAGCTGCTCTCAAAGGGGTGCTTAGTTAAGCTGATTGTCTGCTGCTGGGTCTCCTGTTTGATGTTCCACTACCTGAAGAGCTTTTGTGTGGGTAGCAGGCTATTTGCTTGAAATGACATTGGCTTTCAGTTAGAAAATTTCAGGTGTGTGCTTTATCCCCATTTCAGAGAGGGAACATGATAGGAAAACTAGTCAAGATTTGTTTTTCTTACAGATTTTTCTCTCACTCATGGATTTTCAATTAAAGCAGTCGGCTGTGCTTGGCCGTAGTCTTTCTACCACTCCTCTTCCGGTTCTTGATCTCAAAAAACCTTCTTATTTCAGTTAATCTATCTCTTAGTGCGGACGAATGAGCACACTCTGTGTCAGAAAATGGCAGGTAACTAGTGACACAGTTTTGAATGTTTGTCCCATACCAAACCTCTTCTCTGGTAACCATGCTTCAAGCAGAAACGGGGCCTAACCTGGGGGAGGCAGGGCACGCTACCCATGGACGCTGCCCGTGTCCCTTCCCTTGGGCTGCAAATTTTGGCCATGCTGCTTAGAGCAGCAGCCCAGACTGTCCCTCTGAATATTTTTTTCATGCCTAGCACTGTCATTTGGGGCACCCCAGCTGCATTTGTTGCAGATTTCTCACCATGGCTTAAAAAACCACAAGCCTGTTTTGGAAGTCAAAGGTCAATTTAAACACTGTTCTTAACCATAGAGAATGGCCATCTTTTAACAGCATCGCTGTGGGGTATAATCTTTGGTAACATGTTTGAGAAATGGACTATCGCGCCTTACCTCTCTGGGTCTTTGACTTTTATAGGAGTATCTTGGGGTGGGATGCAGAAGTGGACCTGGGGTTTAAAGGGAGCCCAAAATCTGAGAGCAGCTCCATCTCACTTTACTTTTTGGTCTCAGAATTGGGTGCCTGGTCACACATCACTACATATCCTGAGCAAAGCAATACCCATATAGTGTCCTGGAAGGGATCCAAGAGTTTGATAATCTTCTGCTCATGCCCCCTCAGGGGCTCAGCGAGAGCTTTCTTGATGGACCAGGCTCCATCCAGGACGCAGGAGTGGCCACTGCAGCCCTTTCTAATGTGGCTGCTCCACATGCTCTTTCTTTTCTTGCATAAAAACATAATTCAAAGTCCAAGGGCTTACTGCTAGGGTATTCAGTGAAATATCAGAGGCTTGGGGTTTAATCCCTTATCTACCTGATATGACACAGAAATTTAACCTAAACCATACATAATTCTTGCAGGGTTTCCTAGTGAGCTGGCTGCAGAGTATTCTGGAAGACTGGGAGGGGAAGAGGAAGTGGGGAGACCATGGAAGTTTCTTTCAGTCCCTTAGTGAAGCTATTCCACTTTGTATAAATTGTACCTTCTTTCCAGGTAAATGCCTTAATGTCTTTTTTTTTTGCCACAAAGAATTTCAGCTGCCACTGTGCTGCTTTGCTGCATGTTCTTACTCTAATATCCTTCCAGACTCCTGTGGCTTTGACTAATCTAAATAATTTTCTATCATCTACAGCATATGAGTCATGACTCATGACTTACTTCCTCTTTCAGTTTGCTGATGAAACAACACTGGCCCAAGGTTGGGTCAACTGTTAGCATTTTGCCACATTGAAAATTAACGCAGGCCATAGCATCATGCAAATTAACTTTTATTATAGTAGCCGGTGTCCAACTGCTGGTATCGTGTGTCACAGCGCCCATTTCTACTGCAGAGGAGGGAAGCAGTGATTATAATCAGTTGGGTTGATCTTGTCTTGCATAGGCAAAGTGCCACTGAAACTCATGACTAGTGATTTGCATGGGACAGTCATACCTGCCACTGAACAGTGGTTGCTGAAATAAGCAGATTTGACTAAACTCCATTGCAAATAATATCACTGCTCTTTAACTTTCCATTGCAACCCATAATTCCAGTTCTTTTCTTAGTGGTATCTTGTGAAGAACTATATCAAAGACTATAAAAATGAAAATCTGCATTGATTCTTCATCCTTAGTCTGTGGCAACACTCAAGGAATTGCTCTGTAAGGTATTTCAAGAGTTGGGGAGTGGTTTCATCTTTATATTTCAGCGGAATTTGACCTATCAAAAAGAGAAAAGAAAAAAATCCATGCGGAAACACGTTATTTTCTTTATTGATAATCTAAATGATGGCAAGCAAAATTTAACCACATCTATTTTAACAGTGATTGGCCCCAATAAAAGACTTTCTCACCATTCCATACTTTAGGAGCAAAACGGCAATGAGATCGGCTTGTATCCCTAGAGTCGGATTTCTGACTGCCAGAAGTGTCCCTTCTGGGGGACTTCTGACAAGTATTGATTCTTGTCATCTGAGGAGATGGAAAACATTTATTAAAAAAAAAAAACATTTATTAGACACAATGGGAAACAAGCAAACAAAAAAATCACTAAAGCTGTGTCGCAGCTCACAGGTGAAAGATTGTGTCCCCAAGCCTGAAGTCAGCTACGCTGCTGAGGGCAGCAGTTCTGGATCCAGGCAGTAGCAAGAAATCTGTTCTACTGGATAAATGCAGTCCAGCTATGGTTATGTAAATCTGGAAGAACCACATTGCGGATGTGCCAGAATTATTATGCATTTACATTAGTGTTATTGAAAGCAAAATCTGCCTCATTATCTTTCTAGAAAGCTTTTTATTATTATGCATAACTACCACTGGTGATAATTGGTGCGGAGATACTTGCTTCTCTTGAAGTGAGCCTAATTTTTCAGTGTGTGGTGGTCCTGTACAGTAATGTCTGTCATCTGATAAATTACTTAATTGCTGAGGACAAGGGGTGTTAATCATAGTATATAAAGCCTAATGAACAGCAATGATATTAAAAAAAAACTATGTAAACAAGATGCATGAAAGCATGCTGTTTGAGGTATTAGCAACTGATGTGATCATGAGCTGTGATTTCCAAATAAATGCCAGAGAAATGAGCATTCCCAGCTCATGTCTGAACTATTCATAAAAGAGAGAGAGTTCAGGCAAGTTAAAGATTAATTTATGAAATTTAAAACGTTGTATCTATTATGTGGGAACAGAACAAGTCCCTTTTAATGGAGGTTCCCTTTGTACTGGCAGCACTGACCATAATTTCAGATTAATATGAACAAAATGGGCACTCTTCCAGACACAGCTGGTTAGGTGCCTGACTGCTTTGGTGTGAAGGGTTTTAAATGCAGTTTGAACTCAAAGTACATCACATTGTCTCACTTGGTGGGGGCGAACTTCAAGCTGGCGAGCATACAGTAATATTAAGCCTTATTTTTTCTCATGCTAGATCCTCATTAAAGGCCTTAATATATTAACTACACATTAAATTATTTTATATAACTGCCAGATGAATTACAATGTTTTTGCTCAGTGAGCTTTCTTGGAGGCTTACTACTCACTGAACAAGTGAGCAGCATCTTTTCGAAGAGGACAATGCATGATTAAAATTTTTAAAGCTTAGTATGAAATGCAGTAATGAAGCTCATAGTAACTAATAAATGCATATGAACACTATTTTCTATGGGATATTTTTCTCTGTGTGTGGGAAGCAAGATAAAGAGGATAGATTATACTAATAAAAGCTATTTAAAGAGTCAAGAGAGTAAAGAGTGAAAAATACACCTCATTATCAAACCAGGAAAAAGCTTTCCATCATCACAGTAGTTTTCAACAATGAGAAATCTTGAGTTTTACTGATGTTAAAAAAGAATACGTTATAAAAATGCCTCCAGTAGAAAGCAGCAAGACTAGCAAGATTTTTTTTTTTCCTTTTTTTTCTCTCTATAAGTGGGAGGGAAGTCTGCTGAGAAAAACAGTGATGCCAAATGGTATTTACTGCTCTCTCACGGATCCAGGCTGCTGCACTGGAGCACAAGGAGCCTGTACAGTTCCCGCTGTGCCAGCCAGAGGGACTCTACCATGAGTCCAGCAAAAGCTGGAGTGAGTCCAAAGACTTTGATAACCTCCTTTAAGTGCAGAGATGTGATCTTGCATAGAGCAGCATTCTCCTGCAGCACTACCTGAAGAGCTTTACCTGAGCTCTTCTTTGTCAATTTTCATCAGTGGGTGCAAGCAAATAAACAAAGGCTAAGCAAAAAAATTCCAACCTTTATTTCAGCGCCCACACAGTTGCTGGATATATGGTGTGAATGATTGTGTGCTCTGGTGGGGCAATAGGTTCCTTTCAGGTGGGAAAGGAAACTAACTCATTTCTTTACTCCAATATGTCTTCAATTAGGATTAGGACCAAAGCTGTTATGAAGCCTATTATATAAAAATGCTGGAAAATATCTGTTTTAATAATAAAGGCATTTCCTTGATTAGGTTTTATCAGGATTTTTCCTTCTAACTTTTTCAAGACTCTTCTTCTAAAATCTAAAGCAATATTCAGATAAATAGAGATCGGTTTATATTGAAGGAGGATTTTTTAAATCTCCTTAGTTTGGTTTAAAGTCATCAGATAGCTTGGATATTCTTCCTTCCAATATATTATACATTAGTAGACACCTATTCTAAGCATCACTTTTATACTGGCAATTAAACTGGGTTCCTTAACTGATCTCATAATAGCAATTTTGCATCCTTCTAGTGTGAGTGAATCTCAGCAGTACTAAGACAAAACCGTATAGTATGAATCACAATAAGTTCT